AGTAGTAGTAGTAGTAGTAGTAGTAGTAGTAGTAGTAGTAGTAGTAGTAGTAGCTCACGGAGATTATATTATGTAGATTCTACTCTATCTCTGCTACACAATTTACTTATTTATAAATCCGTAGAAAAGAGTTCTGCTCTCACAATCTCACTCTCCCTTCTTTGACTGTGATTAGCTCTGCGCTCCACCCGACTCTCTTTCTTATCAGTGAGCGTAAAAATGTTCCATTCCCACACTTTCCCTCGGAGATTACCTTGTCGTCTTCGCCAACAAAACACCGCCATTATTTCTTTTACGAGCTCCTTCTTTTTCTATCGTATTGGCTTTATCGATCCAGCGTTGATTGTTCTCTTTCTGAAGCAATACCCAGAACAATAAAGCTGGGGGTCGTTTAATCACCACTTGAACACTCGCAGCATTTCTATTCGCTTGATTTTGTTTGTTACTCCGATGTCTGTCTGGGCACAACAAGTCTCCCTAGAAGTGGAAAGCCAGACAGATTACTACCTTAGAATGACAAAGTTCTACATGTATCTGGTATTTTTGGTCGGTTTGAGCTACTAAGACCATGAGGTTAGAAACCAGATTAAAGCTCTATGTGCTCTATCAAAATCGTAAAATTTGATTATTCGGAGTCGTTGTCAAGGTATTCAAAGAATTGCATTCGAAAAACTAGTCTTAACATGTTGTGAACTAGAAAAAATTTGACGTCAAATTTGTCAGAACTAGGTATGTACTGAGCAGATAGGGCTTTGTTACAAAGACCATGAGGTCAGAAACCAAATTAATGCTCTATATGCTCCGTCAAAATCGTAAAATTTGATTACTCGGAGTCGTTATCAAAGTATTTGTTAAATAATTGCATTCGAAAAACCCGTAACATGTTGCGAAATAGAAATATTTTTACGTCAAATTTTTTAGAACTAGGTATGAGCTGAGCAGATGGGCTTTGTAAATCTGAGGTAGTGAGATGTCATTTTGATGGTTTCTGTAATACGAGTCTTACGTTCTACCAATCTGTCCCCGTCGTTTTATGCAAGAAATATTCGGAAATTATGCAAACTGAGCCCAACAATTTAAAACTATGCGATTCTGTTACTTTTAACAAAGAGTGTTAAAGGATAATAATCAGAAATTATGCAGAAAACGAATCGAATTTTGCTAAATTATGCGGGGTGCATAAAACCACGCGACAAACCAACTTATGAAGAGGGGCGAGGAAGCATGGAGCACCCTGTGTTCCTGAGACCCCAGTTCTACATTCAAGTACAAGTATTCCA